TCAGCCCTGGAGTTTCATGCCTTAGACCAGCCCACTTATTTTTTATTTTATTTTATTTTACTGGCCCTTTGATAGTTATTTTGCTTAACCTATTCATGTGCAATTATTCTAAAAAGAATTTTAATGTCATACAAAAAATGTCATCGGCCTGAGTAAATTGTACTAATATAGAATTGTGACTTCACAAGTGTAGTAAGTTAGGAGGTGAAAATACTGTGAAATTACAAATGGCATGAAATTTGAAAGCGTAACAACTGAAGGTCTATGAAACGTCAGTCAATAAAGCATTTTAAACAATGGCATTTAAAGTTTTGAACTAAAAAATCATTGCAGCCATATAGCCTTTGAATGAATGAAAATGTATATTTTTCAATTAAAAATTGCCACTGCCTCTGGTGCTTGGATTTGTAGCCTACTTCAAAATAATGAGGTCCAAGAATTCCCTAGAAGTTACTTTTTTTTAAATGTAGGCTATTTTTCTCTCTCTCTCTCTCTCTATTTAACTGCATTACAATGAAATGCATCTTCCCTCAGGTAGATTGAATGTTGGGCTCATGATCAATAAGTTGTTTGCATTCGACGGTGAAGGGAACTGCCGTCAGCGCGAGACCCGCTCGCTGGGAAGTGGGAGCCGGCAGAGGATTCTGCTTGGTCTTAAAGCCTTCCTCAAACGGCGACTTCACAAATAAAATGATGATTTGCGCAAAAATAATGTTTACTTATCAATTGGGAATTTGTTATTGATATGGTCTGGTGGAAATAATAATATGGGCTGCGAGAAAATTATAAATAAAAAGAGCGGGGCTGCTATGAGTGCAGGCAGTCTAGGGACACCATCACTGATCTATATATAATATCGATTATAGATCAGTGGACAGCATCCATATTTCAACCCCAGTGGCATGACAACCTCGCAGCCAAAAAAACAGACCGGCCCACCGGGAATCCTCCCGGTGCTCCCGATTAGCTAGGGTGACCAAACGTCCTGTTTTCACGTCCTGTCCTGGCCATCCTGGTTGTTTTTTATAAAGTGATGAAAATGTACTGGTTTTCATTGGGCCATTAAATTGACCGGCACTAGGGCACTCTGCATCTGCGGTGCTGCATGTGACGTAATCCCTGAGAGCCTGCCGTGTGGGCGGCTCTCTTTACATGCACAACGAGCTAGTGATGGGAAGTCCGGTTCTTTTCCGTGAACTGGTTCTTTCGGACAGTTCGTTTCAATGAACCGGTTCAAAAAAACGGTTCATCGGTTCTTTTACGCCCTAACGTAATGACGTCATTCGCGATGACGTAATGATATCAAGTCTATCGTCCCGGGCCAGGATGAAAATACACATTCAAATATATAAAGTCAGTATTCATAACTTCAGTCAGTTAAAACATCATAATCATGATCTGAAAAGTTTATAATTAATTTTTGCAACTAAGCACCCAAATACAGTAACAGGCAGTGATCTGCATACCAGGATTTAAGTCTTGAAGTTATAAAGTAAATAAATAATTTGTCATCAGCGCAGAAACCATAATCCACTTAATATACATACTCCATTGCAATTTATTTGTTATTAAATTAAATAAACTTACGTTTCGCCAGATTGCCCTTCATTCAAGTCTTCGGTTTACCCGCGCTCATAGCATTAGCACAGAATCAGTTGTTCAAAAGAACCAGTTCGGTTCAGACGTGCTGTTTCAGTCATAGTAGGCAATCTGTTCGGTAGCTTCATGCTGAATCGCTTGAGCTGAATCACGCATGCGCAGTATCATCCGAAAACCAATGCAACCGGTTCTTGACTCCGAGAACGAGAACCGCTCTAACCAGCACGCAAGCATGCACGTTCAGTATATCATCAGCTGCTCTACTCGTGTTCATGTTCTATTTACTACAAACTCAATTTGTGAATTTGTCATCGTTAACTATAATTACAGTAAAGGTATTTCATAGATCATCCTTTATTCCTATTAAACATAGAGTCTTAATTATTGTCCAACTTCCCTGACAAA